ATGTACTCGCTTATCTAAGTGATATTTCGTGGTAGTCAGTGGTGATGTTTTCACTTATTCTTCCACTTAGATTTAACATAAAAGTGTCCTAGGCTGCCTCATCTATGTGCTCTCGCTTAGAATGTAAGCCACAATATCATTAAGACAAATTAAAATTTTACTTACATAATGTGTGGAGTTCTAAGCGAGGTTAATGAGACGCCTATAAGCAATTGCAAATAAGAATGCAATGTATGTAGATTACAATCCTATTTGCATTTGTAAGTTAAAGTACCATGACTTCCGATTTCGTTATAGAAAAAATATATATTTTTTTATATTTATTTCAAAATTATGCGAGTTTATTCAAAAATGATTATCAAATAATAAGCATGTATTATAGTTAATTCAATAAAAATATAATTAAACAATTTTAAGATAAGATAAATGAAATGAATCTTAATTTTCTTTTTAAACTTTCGGCCATCTTTCTTTACAGATCCTGTAAACAATCAAGAGGAAATTGTCAGTATTAAAACTAGAATGTATGAAATAAATTTACCCCAATTTTTAAATCCGTTACTGCCACTTAGATCACCACAATTATTTTAAATTTTTACAATAAAATAATTTTTTTAACAATACACAACTTCACATACGAAAGATCAACTTTAAACTGAAACAAAAAAATCTTTTCATGTAGTATACAAAAGAAAAATAAAACGGTACTTTAGTTCTTTTTTTTTAGAAACAAAAACAAAAAACAACATGAAAAAGGCTTAAATCGTAATCTATGTTATTATTAATGTCATCGAATATTATCTAATATTATCTTGATAAAGATCCTGCAACTTGGCTGCAAAACTTCAACTATCAGGAGGGGCAAAGGATGCACAGTGGTATAGGAAAAAAAAGAGGGAAATAATTCGGTAACTTCTAAACGGTTAATCCGATTTTAATGAAATTTGGTATGCACAAAGAGGAGGTGTTGTCGAGTTTAGGTTTTGAATTTGGACCTTATAGGCCAACCAGGGGCCCGGCGGGGGGTTCTCAAATTAGGACACCTCGGCTATGTTGAATTTTTAAAACGATCCTATTTCTTCATTTGAGTTCCGATTTAAAAAAAATTTCGTATATAGAATCTCCTCATCGAGCACTATAAAAAATGTCGTCATAGCAGTAAATTATCTCTTATAGTTTAGGAGATATTCGCATTTGAAAATTAAAATTTTAAAATTTTTACCGTCCTTACTTTAGTTTTTTGATAATAGCGGTCCAAATATTCCCGATTTTCGCCATTTTTTTTATTCGCTTAACAACAAGTTTATATATCAAGCAGTGAAAGAATTATTTAAAAATCATGACTGAGTCCAAAGTAATAGGCATTTTAATTTAGAAAATTAAAAAAGGCGATTTTTTGCCATCTTTTTGGGAAAAAAGTATCTTTTTCTTTTTAAGTTATCTAAAAAGTTTCTAAGAAGATGTATACAGAATTTATACTTTTTGGAAAGCTGACTTTACATAAAATACGATAAATGAAACAAAATCTAAAACATACATGGGAATTTTTCATTAAGCATTAAAATTTCATTACCATTTATAGAAAAAATTGTAATGAAAAATATTTTAAGTACCATTTAATGAAAATTATATTTTTTTCATTATAACTTTTTTTGATAATGGTAATGAATTTGATAATGAATTTTCAAAAACGAATTTAATTAGTATTTATGTCGAAAAATATATTAAGGAAAATTTTTCGAAGATTCGAGGTTTGAAAGCTTTTAAAACCAGTTCCCGTAGCCCAAATTGGCTGAAATTTTGCAGTCATAAGTACATCTGATGACAATACAATAATATGTTCCAATATTCGAAATTAAGTTCGAAAATTCGAAGTTATTTTCGAAATTTTTTTTATGTTTTTAAATTAATCTCTGTGTCATAAAACCTAAAAAAAAAAATTTCGAAAATTCGAACTCGTGTTCGAAAAATTTTTAAAGCTGTTAAAACTAGTTCTTCTAGTCCGAATGTGCTGAAATTTGGCATACATGATTTCACCTAATCACAATACATTATAATGTTCGGATATTCGAAATTAATTTCGAAATTCGAACTAATGTTCGGACATTTTTAAAATCCATTGAATAATGGCAATGAAAATTTATTTTTAAATAATTACTAATGAAATCGTTTCATTAAAAACCATTACCATTAGACAAAATAATGCTAATGAAAAAAAAAATAATTATAATTTTTTTCAATGTAATGCTAATGAAATCGTCAATTAATTAGTCGATATAATTAACTACTCCCATGTATGATCTAAAAATTGTTGATACCGAGGGGACTAGGTCCATCCAAAAAAACCCTATTTTTTATGGAAAATTCAATTTTGAGCAAAAATTCTCAAATCGCATAGTCGATATCAAATTATAGTGACCTGTTTTATATGTTCTTAATAATATGTTCTTAATAATTTTGTAACGGGTTTCGATAACCCCGCCCCTGGTATGGATATAATAGGCAAAAAACCAAAAATCCCATTTTTGAGATTTTTTAAAACTTTTTTAGGAATTCCGGGATTTCTAATAAGAAAATTCTAAATTTTTATTTAATTTTGGATTTTGAGTAAAAAATCTACCTAACTGTAAAATTTCATCAAAAAATATTCATAAATAAAATTTTTATTGGAATTTCAAAAATTTGTGTCTTCGCAAAAACTGAATAAAAAACATTGTTTAATTTAAAAAAAAAAAGTATTCCGCGAATTTTCTAATTTTCAAAAATTATATACAGTTTTGAAAAATAGACAAAATTACCTTTCCATTGATATATAACATGCCTACCTAATGTTTTTTAAGTGACAAATTAATTAGGGAAAACTCAACATCTTTTAGAAAATTTACCTAGCACTATTATTTTCATCCATATATGTAACAAATTTAAGAGTTAACCTTATGGATGAAAATAATAGTGCTAGGTAAATTTTCTAAAAGATGTTGAGTTTTCCCTAATTAATTTGTCACTTAAAAAACATTAGGTAGGCATGTTATATATCAATGGAAAGGTAATTTTGTCTATTTTTCAAAACTGTATATAATTTTTGAAAATTAAAAAATTCGCGGAATACTTTTAAAAAAAAAAAAATAAAAAATGTTTTTTATTCAGTTTTTGCGAAGATACAAATTTTTCAAATTGCAATAAAAATTTTATTTATGAATATTTTTTGATGAAATTTTACAGTTAGGTAGATTTTTTTACTCAAAATCCAAAATTAAATAAAAATTTCGAATTTTCTTATTAGAAATCCCGGAATTCCCAAAAAAGTTTTAAAAAATCCCAAAAATGGGATTTTTGGTTTTTTGCCTATTATATCCATACCAGGGGCGGGGTTATCGAAACCCGTTACAAAATGATTAAGAACATATTGGGTCATATAAAACAGGTCACTATAATTTGATATCGACTATGCGATTTGAGAATTTTTGCTCAAAATTGAATTTTCCATAAAAAATAGGGTTTTGTTGGATGGACCTGGTCCCCTCGGTATCAAAAATTTTTAGGTTTTGTTTCATTTATCGTATTTTATGTAAAGTCAGCTTTCCAAAAAGTATAAATTCTATATACATCTTCTTAGAAACTTTTTAGATAACTTAAAAAGAAAAAGATACTTTTTTCCCAAAAAAATGGCAAAAAATCGCCTTTTTTAATTTTTTAAATTAAAATGCCTATAACTTTGGACTCAGTCATGATTTTTACATAATTCTTTCACTGCTTGATATATAAACTTGTTGTTAAGCGAATAAAAAAAAATGGCGAAAATCGGGAATATTTGGACCCGCTATTATCAAAAAACTAAAGTAAGGACGGTAAAAATTTTAAAATTTTAATTTTCAAATGCGAATATCTCCTAAACTATAAGAGATAATTTACTGCTATGACGACATTTTTTATAGTGCTCGATGAGGAGATTCTATATACGAAATTTTTTTTAAATCGGAACTCAAATGAAGAAATAGGATCGTTTTAAAAATTTAACATAGCCGAGGTGTCCTAATTTGAGGACGCCCCGCCGGGCCCCTGGTTGGCCTATAAGGTCCAAATTCAAAACCTAAACTCGACAACACCTCCTCTTTGTGCGTACCAAATTTCATTAAAATCGGATTAACCGTTTAGAAGTTATCGAATTATTTCCCTCTTTTTTTTTTCCTATACCACTGTGGGATGGTAAACAACTTGAAAGTTGTGAACGACATGGCAGAGCGAGGAGTCAAGCAGATTATTATAAATAAGAATCAAATGAAAAATACATTTATTATACTTGATTTTTTAAATTGTTTTCATTCCAAAAATTTATAATATAGAAAGGAAAATGTTTTTTTTTCAATAGGTTCCATCTTCGCTCTAAGGGGTATATAGTCACGGTTTTAGGGACATTGGCTTCATTATCTCGAATTTAGTACTACTTAAATATTTTTTATTGTATAAAATGTTATAAATAATATCGGCTTCAATTTGATGTATTACACGGGAAAATATGTCAAACCGTTCTAGAGAAATGGGTCGGCAATGTCGCCAAACTGTCAAAAATCGGAATTTTTAAAACTTTGAGGCCCAGTAGCACGTGTTAACATCTTTCAATCGTGCTCAAAGTTTGTCAATCTTAAAATCTAACAGAATGAAACATTTAAGAGGGGTGCCCCTAAAGAAATCCGACATAGATTTTTTAAAACCACCCTAATATATATATATATATATATATATAGGAACCCCATAATTTCTGCTGAGTCTGCACAATGTTAATTTTCCTCTTTCTGCTTGGATAAATTTTAAAGCCATTTAAGGATTTGGTACGCAGATATTTTCATTTATTTGTCATCGGCCATATACAAGATATTTTTTTGTTGCACAGTGTATTCGATGGAAAATTATTTTGGAGGAAAATATATTGTAATAAAACTAACAATTTATAAGGCCTTTTTAAAAACATATTAACAAAAAATAAACTTAAATAAAATGGATATGATGAGAATAAGAAACATTTGTTTTATTAATTCAAGATGTTAAATCTATTGATACTATATGATTTTTGTGTAACAGCAATGGTAATGTCCCATTTCCATGTTCTTTTTCCGTAAGTGTATTGGAAGTTGTAAGATCAGTTTTTCCTACCGAGTTTTCTTCAATATTTGGAACTTTATTTACATTATGTTGAGATAATATCCAATTTTCCGTATCAGCATCAGTTGTTCTATTTGTTATAGATTTATATCTATTTGATTCAATATTTCCATCGATGTTTGTGTTTAAATTTTGGTTTAATGTTAGAGGTGATGTTGTGGAACAATTGGATAGTATATATAAAGACGGTAGAAATGATTTTTTTAAGTGTACCCCAATATCTTCATTGCTGGCAACAGACTTAATACTGTTATTGTTTCTTACCAACCCTTTTGTTTTATTTTCATTGCTGGGAACAATTTGCAATAAACACGAGGTACTGTTGTAATTTGCAATACCGTTATGTGAACTATTTAAGTTACTGGTTAATAAAGGAGATTCCATTGATAAATTTAGTTGCTTTCTTATTTGGGTTATTGATGTATGTATTGATAATGGATTTATACAAGATTTAATGTTGTTGTTTGGGTTTATGTCTGATTCGACACTACTCTTAGCAATAAACGAATGATTTGTAGCACAAGCGTTAATTTGATTGTCTTCTTCATCAGAGGTACATAAATCAATTGTATCTACTATTATTTCTGTTGATGGACATGAGGATATTTTCCAGTTAGAACTGCGGGAATTGTCGCGAGTAAGTTTTATGTTTAATTTATTACTAGATGATGCACATTGCTTATTGTTGATATCAGAAATTTTCTTTAATCTTACTGATATTGGACGACATCGCCTTAACAGTGTAGAATTTATAAGCAAAATATTCTCCATTCTTCTTTTCTGAGAAAACTGCCGACGAGGGAAAATATATAAATGAGTGCTATATTCCTGTGGTCTTTTAAAAGTGCAGTGAGTACTAAATGTAACATTTTTCTTTTCCAAAAACTTTGTTCGTGATGTTATCGATAGAGGAGCATGACAAAATCTTTCAATGCGGTCCAGACGTTCTATCAGATACTCAGGACTAATAATAGTTTTAGTAGTTCTTAATAAAAGCTGGCCTGCAGGAGAAGATAAAGGAATTGTTGGACAACGTGACACTGAATGTACTGCGCGATTCCTTCTAGATATCCGTTTCTTTTTATCAATTATCATAAATTGACTTTCCTTTTTTAGAATTTCGGATGATACGGTATTGCATGTACTATCGTAACATCTATTATTTATTTTATTGTACTTATATTGTAAATTAAAATTTAACATAAACCCTATGCGTTGTTCATTATCTTCCATATTATTTTTTTCCGATCGTTGATCATCACACATTTCTGGAGTGTTGCACAAAATAACATCATCATCTTCAACAATGCATGCTTTCTCATGTTCCTGCAACAAATTTATTAAAAACAAAAATTAGTCTCAATATACATACAGTAAGTTTTTTAGATTGTTAATTTTTCCCTATTGAAAAAAAGGGATTTTCAAAATTTTCATACATTAAATCTGGATTTAATAAAACTTAATATCAAAACAAGTAAAAATATTACTCGACTAAGACGGATCTTATATACATATGTACATTAGGGTGGCCGGCCCCAAAATTAAAGTTGCTGATGTTCCCACCTAAAGTGAAAATTTAGTTTATTCTAAGAACCATTTGATGAGCTGTATAAAAAGGTAATTTTTTAATGTTTTTATGATTTTTATTATATTTCTTGCAAATAAACTATATGCAAATCAGACCTGGGCGATTTCCATTAATTTAGCATTAACATTAAATTAAAAAAAATAATTTAATTTAAAAAATATTGCATTAACATTAAACTTGTAAAATTTAATGCATTAAATTTGCATAAGCATTATATATTTTTGAATTTAATGCATTAATTTTACATTAACATTAAATATTATTAAAATTAATGCATTCATTTAGCATTAACATTAAATATTTCTTAATTTAGTGCATTAATTTTACATTAACATTAAATAAGTAATAAAATTAATGTACCTTTTAATTTTCCATTACCATTAATATATATAAAAATTTATAAATATAAATAAAAATACAGCACAAAAGACCTCGATCTAACTTAGTACAACTAAAATTAAATAGGTTAAAATCCTTTCTAATAACTCCCATATTCCATTTAAACTTTTGTGTTTTAATTATGACATTTATATAAGATTCCACAGTGTGACAAAATAAACTAAAAAAGGAATACCTGGGAAGTGATACTATTCTTCTGATATGTATTATTAACCAAAATAGGATTTATTAGAAGGGACTTTAACACATACAATTTTACTTGAATTTAGTTAGATCGAGGTCTTTAGCGCTGTATTTATACCCTACACCACTTTAGTGGGGAGGGTATATTGGGTCCTATGCTATGTCCGTCCGTCTGGCTCCATGTAAACCTTGTGCGCAAGGTACAGGTCACAATTTTCAAGATAATTAGATGAAATTTGGCACACACGCTTTTTTTGGAAGAAGCCTATTGAAAATGGTTAAGATCGGTCCATTATTTCACCTAGCCCCCATACAACAGAACTCCCCGAAATGGGCTTTTGAGCTCATAATTATGTTAAATATACCTGTATATCGATAAAAAGCGGCACAACTAAGTTTTATACAAGCCTTGATGACCTTGCCAAATTTCATAGAGATCGGGCCTCATTTGACCCTAGCCCCCATACAAAGTCCCCTTCAGAAAATTACTTGAATGTCCCAAAATTAACTAATAAACACAAATATCGCGATGAAATTCAGCACAAATTAATATTATATAAATATATTCACAAAATTTTACCGGCTTGGTCCATATTTGCCCCTAGCCCCCATATAAAGCCTCTTTCAGAAAATTAGTTTTTCATCCATAAATTGCTTAAATGTATCGGAACAAGGTAATAGAAGATAAATGCTTTATTATGAAAAATAAATCACATTTAATATTCATAACTGGTGTAGGGTATCATATGGTCGGTCACGCCCGACTATGCTGTGTTATTAAAAAATCAGTATAAATTAAACTTTTTATACAGCATTTTTCGTATGTTCCTCGAGAATTCTGACTAAAATCTGAGGAAACATAATGTATAAGAAAAATTCGATAAAATCCCTCTGAAATATTAGTTAAAAAAATAAAACAAATTAGAATGGTACTACAAATTGACCTACTTATTTCTCCTGATTGTTAAATATTAGTGTGTTCTGACGGATCAGATACACAGTCCCTTTAACTGAGGATAAATTAAATTCTCCAGAGGCTTTAAAATACTGGTCATAAAAATTGGATTGATATTTTTTTGTAACTCGATAATAAAGCACAGCTTTTTAAGTTAAAAGTCATGGGTCCAAAAAGTTCATTTTCACTTGTCACTTAAAATAATATGATTATTTTAGATCATTAACTTTAAAAATCAACCCGAAAATTTGTTATTTAAAAGTGGATGTCTACTTTTACCCACATTTTGAAAAGTTATTACAAAATACTATATTTCTTTCGAATATCTATTTTCTAATTAAATTTCTTAATTTAAAGTTTAAATTTTAAACTTTTAAATAGTAAATCCCAAATTGACTACAATAAAATTAAGGACGATTTACCTGTTATGTAACAAATAGCGGGATTGAAATCTACCCAGCAAAATATTTGCTTACAAATTCACTAGAAAAATCACCAGAATTCATCGAGTAAAGCGCTTACAATTCTACTAGAAAAAGTACTTATTTTTGTTTGAGATGTTCCAAAAGTAAGTCAATATTATTTGGTTGGAAATAAGTTGTTCTTTTAGTAGAGTTATTTATAGAATATTTATGAAAAAATAAAAATAAAAAGTCGACACAGACTGGGGTTGAACTCAATACCTTCCGTCTGCCAGTTGGATGCTCCACTCACTACACCACTGCTTAGCTGTTTTATTATGCGTCAAATAATAGTTTTCACACACAAATACTATTTTATTTTCTGTTTGTCTAAAAATAGATATTTGATATCGTGTGCACAAAAAAAGGAAAAAAAGAAAAAGTAACTGTTTTATGTTTGTTTGTTTCTTTATTTTGAGATTTTAAAGACTTTACATACAAAGTAAGTCATTAATAAAGTACTTAATGGTAATCATTGTAAGCAAAGATTTTGCTGGGTAAGTCGGAATCAACCTTTTAAAAGTGGGATAATTCCGCTTTTGGTATGATGTTTGGTCACGTTACACATACAAGATAAACTTTCAATAGCGGGTCGTGATACATAAAGACTACGTGTAAATCATAACAACCCACACGCAGTTCGAGATGCGTATTCTTGTAATAAATATTATTTGCTTAAACTTACTATTTGGATTTGAAATTTTGAAAATTGTCTACAAATTGTTAGATTTTGACATTTTTGCAAACTGGATCTATTTTTTCACGATATATATTGAACGTGACACACCCCTTATAAATATGCATTCCATCAGGATCCTATATGTATGATTCTAGGTTCAATAATTCAAAAAATCAGAAAAATGACATATGAATGACGAATAGGTTCAATAATTCAAAAAATCAGAAAAATAACATATGAATGACGAAAAGGTACTTGAATTTCCCCTTATATAAATTTAAATTCAATTTTAATTTTGTATTTTTTAGGTTCAATATTATAAAAGACTCAAAAAGTACCAATTGAAGAACAAAAAGCCCCAAAAAATTCAAATATTCAATCAGGCTATATGTATGTCTAATAATATCGTTTTTAATCTAGGTAGTATATTTAATACCCTATTATATTTACACCAACTTTTTTATAGAATGTGATTTTTGTTATAACGCAAAAATTAAATTCAATGTAAAGTTTCAAAGATTATCACAAAATCCATGAAAGAGTTTCGAAATTACTTAACAAAACTAGATTTTAGCAGTTATTAAGAGTTTTTACAACATTCTTTATGTTACCACTTGTTTGAGACATTCTTGCCTTTTCTTAAAATCAAATTGCCATGAGATCTTAATTTTTTTGTTTTTGTTGAGGGAAGGTATGGTGAGGTGTATTAAGCAAAAACGATTTTTGTAATTTCCATGAAAAAAAACTTCATTAGAACATCCCAGGTCTATTGCATCTTCGCTGCTGACGAACGGAAATATTAGGGTGATCGATTATTCGACACTTTTCAAAAACCGGGTTTCGAATAGTTCGAATAGTTGACATTTTGAAAAATGTCTTAACTTAAGATATGCAACACAAATGTAAGCTTTATTATTTAAATTGATAATTTACTTTAGAAATGAGAGATTTGGTAAATTTTTGATTTTACGAAAAAAAATTCTATTTCTGTCAGTTTTTATCCGATTTCAACGTTTCATATCATATTTTATTCATAGAAATATGGGCTAAAATAAAAAAATATTTAAAAAATATGTTTTCAAATAAAGTGTGGGTCAAAAATAATCGTGAATTGTAAAAAAATGAAAAAAAAAAATATATAAAAATTTGTATTTAGATCTAAATATTTTACACATTTCCGTAAAAAATATAAAAGTGTGTATACTTTTTAAAAAGAAGAAGGGAGGGTCTGTTTAAAACCGTTGAAAAATATTAAATCGGTTAAGAAAATTTTGAGATATAATTTTTTTGGTCTGTCTAGTCAACAAAAAGCGTTTTTTTCCAAAATCTTCCGATTTTTAGGGTATATTAAAATCTATGAAAAACTGGATGAATTATGACAATTTTTCTAATAGCATGTTCCTCGAATTTTTGGTTTTCTCCATACAAATTAATTTTTATATAAAAATGTTTATAAACATTTTTTAAACTAGTTACAAAGAAAACCAGAAACATGAACGTTTTTGTATGGAAGAAATATGCAATATTTTTATAAAACTTAGCACAACTCATAACCTTTTTCATCGATAATTATAAATTGACCATCACTGGAAACCCAACTTAATGTGCCTTTTTTCAAATGTAATAAAAGCTAAAGTTACTGCTTCATGGCCAACGTAGAGCAGTATGAAAATTAAAAATTGTGAAAAAAGTGTGAGTTTTTTACTTAAATGGCCGTAACCAAGACATTAATCAAAAATTTTGGATTTATTTTTGGGTTGAAAGACAAAATATCCAATTTGAAAATCGGTTGCAAACTACCAAACATATATTTTTTTAAAGTTAAAACTTCAAAAATAGCACTTTTTCACATCTTTTGCTCTTAAAAAGGAACTAAACGAAGTAATCGGGAAAAATTAAAAATCACTGTGTTTCCATATTTAAAATGTCTTCTTTAAGTTCCTTTTTCATATTGCTTAAATCTAAAAGATATATTTTATTTAAAGAAAAAATCTTAATACAAAAATACTTACCATTCATAGTTGTATAATTCAAATTTTGGCTATCTTGATTGTTTCTAAC